CGAAGAAGTCACCCCTGTTGACTTTGTTCCACCAGACCGGTTGCAACCAATGGGTGCAGTTGACGCCTCCCCGGCCTCCACCAATCATGAAGATTCCATGTTTCCTGATGGGGAGCTTTCCACACCAAGTGTGGCGGATGATGTCGTTAGCGAACCTATGGACCTCGATTCCGATGTTTCACCAAAATCCAATTCTAGTCAAAGTAAGGGTTTTATAGCCGCTGCCCCCAGTTCGGGCGCGGAGAGGGTTCCTCCACATCCCGATGACGACAAAACATTGTTGGAGATTGCGGATGTCGAGTTGGATGGCACACCCGAGGCGCTGAAAGCCGCCGCATTCGAAGAGCCACACATTTTAACCCACTATCCTAAGAACCCTTATTGCCCTGTTTGTCAGATTTCTAAGTCCACCAGCAAGAGGGTGGCAAGGAAGCCCGACACCCGAGATGACGACATGATTGATCCTCCCAAAGGACCATTCGAGCAACTGTCGACTGACGATGTGATCATGGCCAAGGGCGATGACTTCGCCGGCAAGGGAACGGGTGGGACTAAGGTGTTCCACATAGTCAGAGACACCTTTTCTGGCGCAAGGATAGCCTATCCCATGGTAAACAGGACAGCTAGCAATCACGCCAAGAACTTTAGGCATTTCTTGGGGCTAAGAGCAAACGAATTAGCATCGTGTGTCCTAATAAAAATGGACGAAGCAGGTGAGTTGGAACAAGCCGCTCATGAGGTGGGTTTGCTCCCCGAAGTCTCACTTCCCAACAGGTGGCCTCATAACGCCACACTAGAGCGAGACATTCGTGAGGAAAAAGAGTGTTGTCGCGCAATCCACATGCAATCCGGGTTGCCGTATGAGTTTCATACATACTCGTTTCCATATGCCTGCATGTCGATGTCGTTCGATCGCCCGTCATTGTCAGACCCAGCCAAGTCACAATGGGAAGCCCTAACTAAGTCCAAGTTTGATGGCATTCGCAGATGTTTTGGCCAACTGGTGTACTACCGAGATCGTAAGGTAAGCAAGAGGACTCTCGAACCAAACATGTCGCCTGGTCTCTTCATGGGATGGCGCATTGAGTCGGGTTTCCGTTATCGTTATGTAGCTAGAATCATGGATTACATGGATTTTAAAGTTAGTAAGCACCCAAATGTGTTAGATGTGCCCGAGGCCGAGATCTACACAGAGGAGGGACCGCCCATTTTTCCCATGGCCTCAACGAAGCTGAGGCATCTCCATGGTGGTTCGTTAGGCATTTTGGACGACATTGCCAAACTAGACATGCCCGACTATCCCATGAAAGAGGTTCCCTTTGGGGAAGAGGGTGAAGGCGCTGCGCCGCCGACACCCGTCGGGCCTAAGTCCCGAAGTGTTTACATAACATTAGATCGAGTAATCCGATTCAGTGAGACTCCTGGCTGCAAGGCCTGCGAGCGCAAGACACGTCATCACACCGATGAATGCCGAAAGCGTTTCGCACGACTTGTTGAAGAGGAGAAGGCCGAACTTTTGGCAAAGCGAAAAGAAGGAATCACTGTTGAAGAAATTCCTCCTGTAGCCCCAGAAGATCCGCCTCCACCACCGCCAGCGGACCCTCCGCCGGAGGCACCAGAGGATGCCAGCGCTACGCCAACGATAATAGCCGGCCTTTCGATAACCCCGCACACCACATATAGGACCCAACTAGTACAAACTAGACCCGAAAGTGGCGTGCCTGTGTTTGGGATGCCTGCAATGACCGAAGCATCACAAGTAAGTCAAGTTAAGAGGAAGCGAAGTAGAGGTAAGAAGAGACCAACTAAGTTCAACCGTTGTATGTTCGAGTTTGCGTGTGCCCCTGATTCGCAAATGCATAAGACATTTCTAGAATTGGGAATTCCACATGTACCCCTAAGCAAGGAACACCTCGACCTGACGGACGCCGACATGCAGGACCAGCTCCATAACCATTTGGAGACCTGTGAGGAGGTGCCAGACCTGTGGGCGTCGATACCATGTACCTCAGGGTCCCCATGGCAAAGAGTCAACAGGTCCAAGGGAGGCGCACGATTTGCCCGTGTACACGCACAGCAGATTCGTGAGTCCAAGCGCCTTTTCGCGGAATTCGAAAGGAGCGCAGGGATCGTCCTTAGCAGGGGGGGCACTGTGACCTTTGAATGGCCAAAGGGCTGTGAGAGTTGGAGTCGCCGTGACGTCCAGTCCTTCTTTGATTCGCATCCAGAGTTCAAACGAGTCGAGTTTGATGGCTGCGCAGTAGGAGTTATATCCACTAAGGATAGACCCATTAAGAAGACTTGGAGACTCATGACGACAAGCCAGCGCATCGTAGATGCTTTTTCGCAGCATAAATGCACGCACTCCCCACATGAACACGATCACGCGGTTGGGTCTCAGACCGCAAAGACCGCCTTTTACCTTCCACGAATGGTAGGCGAAATAGCCAGAGCGTTGTACCCCCAGAAGGCCAACCTAGCTCCGGCCCCAGCCATGCCATGTGTGGTCCCAGCCGCTGCCTCACAGGCGCGGGAAGAGGAACACAGGGTGAAAGAGCAGCCCTTGAAACACATCTCCGCACTCGCAGGTGCCGATGCATTTGCATTGGCCGTCGAAACCGACGAAGTTGCAAACCAGATGGCAGAATGCCTGATGGACTTGGAAATTCTCGTTCGAGATGCATTCAACATTCCTGGAGAACCTGAACATCACGGTAGGGTGCACGCCATGGTAACTAAGTTGCTCTCAAGAGCAGAAATGTTAGCGAACCCTAAAGCCGTTGAGAAAGTAAAGGAAGAAGCAACATCCCTGACCGACATCGGTACATGGGATCTTGATTCGGTTCAGGAATATGATGCAGTCAAGGCCGACGCAAAGGCTAGCAAAGTGTCCGTACACTTTGGCCGTCTAATGACTATCGCCTCAATTAAATTTTGGGAATTGGCTGAACACCTTCACAAAATGAAGGGGCGGATAGTATATCGCGGCGACTGTGCACGCGACGAGAATGGCGTCGCCGCCGTCTACGAGGAGTTGGGCGCGAACCCAACCTCCGTACAAGGCTTAAACGCTTGTTTAGCCTACGGCTCCTTGCCGGGACATGCCTGCACGGCGGCAGACGCCGTGAAGGCTTACGTTCAAGCCTTTCTCAAAAGTAAGTACAAAACGTGGATCGAACTTCCACCTGAACTCCGCCCGGAGTGGTGGAAGGGAAAATTCACCCGTCCAGTTGTACTTCTGGTGAGGGCACTGTATGGACATCCCGACGCAGGCGGAATGTGGGAAAACCATCTAAAGAGGATTTTAAAGAAAATGAACGGTGAGGAGATTCCTGAGTACCCCGGAAATTTTTATTTCAAAGGGACAGGTCTCATGTTATCTACGTACGTAGACGACTTGACATTATCCGGGCCGTCGGAGCACCATGCTCCTTTTTGGAACCAGCTAATGTCAGAGGTAAACGTAGAGCCTCCCGAAACCATTTATAGAATCCTCGGAAGAAACCATGTTTATGCCAGTTTCGACAAAGCACAGGGTGAGGAGAACGCTGCTTTAGGCGCGGCTCCTGATGCATTGATTTTCGACATGAAGGACTATGCCCAACAGACCATAGACCTTTATAAAAGTGTTGCTAAAGTCGATAAAATCAAACCTGCGCAAACACCCTTCATCCCCGATGGAACATGGCCAAAGGAGGACGAGGACTCTCCGGGAGAGCTCGCCCCCAAAGCATGTTCGATACTAATGAAGGCCCTTTGGTTGGCCCGCCTGTCTAGACCGGATATCCTCAAGCCTATTAATGACTTAGCAACTAAGGTCCAAGCCTGGACCCGAGTGCACGATAAGAAGTTGTTAAGGCTAATACAATACCTCCAATACTCGCTAGACTACAGACTGACCGCCTCTTGCCAAGACGATCCAAAGGATCTCAGGCTTGAGCTGTACGTCGATGCGGACTTTGGAGGCGATTCCGGTGACGTGAAGTCAACCTCAGGCGGCCTCCTGACACTAAAAGGTCCTAACACCTTTTTCCCACTTGCATGGATCTCGAAAAGGCAGACATCCACTTCACGCTCCACTACGGAGTCAGAAGTGGTAAGTTTGGCACACTCTTTATACCAGGAGGGCATACCCGCTCTCCAACTTTGGGAGAAGCTCTTGCAGAGGCCGGTGGACTTAGTTATCCATGAGGACAACCAAGCCACCATCATAGTCGTTCGTAAGGGGTATTCCCCCAAACTTCGACACATCGGCCGGACACACAAGATAAACCTCTCATCTTTGAAAGAGTGCCTCGATGACCCATGCATCAATGTGCAATACATCGACACCAACGAACAGGCCGCCGACATCTTTACAAAAGCACTGCCACCGCAGAAGTGGTACAAAGCTTTATGCCTTCTTGGCATACGTACGGATATTCGCGAGCCGAAACCCTCCCTTAGGGACCGAAGCTTTTCGTTAGGTGCCGATGTAGGTGCAAAAGCCGCTGCTTAACGCGCGGTAATTAATACCTGTACATACAGTGAACCCATGACACGCAAAGCGGCGAGGGGGGAGTCAAAATATCACGCACTGTGGTAACCCCTAACTTGCCATGTCATAAGGGTTCATGTACAGTGTTTTCGGTCGTCGGTCGACAAGTCATTGTTTCACACCGACGCCCATCATGGCTCAAGAAACGATTGCGCCCGCGGTCGTTTCAGCGCTCGCGCACGTCGCTTCGTTCGGTCGCGCCGTGCCACTTTCGCATTCGTTGCTTTCGGGTTTGTGTTGTAGGTGGCCGTAGGAGCTCCTTCCCCAAACCCGCACTCCTGCACACCACGGGTTCCAATCCTTCGGGTGTTCCCCGCCGTGTGCCTTCTAGGACCAGGGTCCTCCACACCATCGGATATCTTTCATCCACCCTTCCCCTAAATAGGTTGTGGTGGTTGTTTACTGATATTCCGGAACCCTTGTCCCTTTCATTTTAATGCAGAATATTCTGATTTTGACTGAGGCTCGACCAAATTGCTTGGAGGCTTCCGGCTTGTCGCTCAACTGTATTCATTAAAGATCCCTGGGATGTTGGCGCGTTGTGCCTCAGAACAGGTAAAATTTCAATCCTTTGCTGAGAATTACAATGCGACAATTGCCATGCTTTCGGGTATACTGGACCCATTGCTGCAGCTGTTCTGTGTGCAAGGAAGATTGAAATTGTTTCCCAACTTGGCATATGCACATGTCGACCTATTCCTTGAAGAACAGTGTGAGGTATGCCATTTGCTGCCGCAATGAGTGTGACGTGGTTGCACTTGATCGGGCTTGGTGAGCTAATCTCCCTGTGCCAGGACTCTGCAGGTTTAGTTAATTGCATGTAATTGCCCAAATCTTCAGGTGAAGACCTGATGGGCCAACTTGAAAGTGAGCTGAAGACATCTATGGCGGAACCTTCGAGGATCCTGCAATTTGTGTCAGCCTTAGTGTAGCTCAGATTTCTTGAATTCCTTGAACATCTAGGAACCATGAAGCTACAACAGCTTCCTTGCTACTGAGTACTGGAGACTTAAGCGACAACAGCTTCTTTTTGCCTACTCGGCCGACTTGGCCTCTTATTCTATCTGATCTTTCCGGTCTGCAGGGCCCTGGTTTAACATATGGATGATGTGCAGTGGCACTGCATTGGTCTGGTTTGAGGTCTCCAACCTTGCTTCGGATACAGCCCTTGCCTCAGATGTGTTTTCTGGGAGCGAGATGACGATCAGAGAGGCTGTGTCAAGGCCAGAGAGGGTTTTCCTTTCTGCCTTTACAATGCGTGATCATATCCGCAGTGCAGTTAACTCTGTTGCATGCTGCGATTGAGGTGGCAGCACCACGTGAGCTGAGCCAAGCTCTTCAAACTCGTTTGAAGGAGGTGGCCAACCTCCATGGCGGAAAGGCGCAGCGGAGCCACCCCCAGCAATCAACAATCCTTATTCAAGTGTGACAGTTTGTATTTTGTTCTCTTTAAACATTGGATTGATGGCCACTCATTTCTTGCACATTATTTGCACCTCCACACGCGGCATCCACTGCATGCGTCTGTGCTAGGTGCCTATCCACGGCCGGCTTTTTGCACAGTGGATGCACCATGCCTTTCCTCGAGAGCTCTTGTCTAAGAAGTGTTGAATTGACTGATTGGCATCCCACTTTACTTTAATGCGACAGCAGCATTCTATGTTTTTGCATTTACTTTTTTCGAGAAAGACTTTGTCAAACGACCAGACATTGTCAAACAGTGTTTGACATGCCAGTCATGACAAGTTGTTCTTTTCTTTTTCAGGTGTCCTTATCCACACGAGTTCGGCACCACAAGCCCTCAGACGCCAGACGAGTGGATGAAGGTGGGAAGGGTCTCGTCACTTGGAGATGTGGAGAACGGATTGCACAAAGTCAGAGTCCACTCACTGGACTCCAATCTGCCAAGTCATGCAGCCCAAGTAACGAAGAGATCCTTTTGCAGTATTTGGATGATTCTGGAGCTCTTACCAAGTATCCTCGGTTCCTTCCAGCCACCTGGCACCTGGTTGAGCTCTTTTGCAAGAAATTTGTGTAGGGAACCTAGAGCCCAAAGGAGGTGAAACGGGGATATTGTGATGAGTGGAATGCAGGAGACCGGGGAAAGCGACTCCTCTGCCACCTTGGAGGAGATGCAAAAGCAGGTCTGTCAAGTGAGTCCAATGACAGTGTAGGGGAGAGAGTACTGGAGTTGGACTTGCAGGAACAGCATCGATGATACTTCTTTGGTTCGTGTCTTCAGCGATTTGACTTGCTGGTATCTGACCCCACAGGTTGCCAGTGATGTCTGCCAGCTGGACGAGAATGGCAATCCAAAGGCAACTCTGCCCATTGGAGCTCTGGTGCATTGGAATCAAACGGTCCATGAGATCACATGAGTCAGATGGTTTACTAAAAGGATTGCTCTGAAGGAGAAATGCCTCTAGGGAGGGAGTCCCTGCTCAAAAGCCATTGGCGAACTTGTATTGCATAGGTTGTGCCTACGGTCCGAGAAGAGTAGTAGCATTTTGACATATCACCATCATCACTCATCACCATGACCACAGGACCACAGGATCACAGGACCACAGGACCACAGGACCAGCAGCAGCAGCTGCAGCTTGTCAATGTCATCGAACCAGTAAGTTGTTTTGTAATTGGGATGGGGGTTGGGGGACGGGAAACGTTCATCACATTGCCATCGGCCATCGGCTTCACAGCATGGTCATAGGTTTCACAGCACCGTACTGCATGGTTCTCTGTGCCCCGTGGTCTGCTCTCATGGGCTCATGACATGGAGACTCAACTCCCAGAGGTGCTTGGATTCCGTTGAATGGACACGCTTGACATTTCTGAGCGTGGCACCGGGGGCTTTGAGCTGCACAGCCATTTTTTGTAAAAGGCCCGCGCAAAGCCTCTCATCACGCGGCAACAAACTGTTTGCTTGCCATGTGCTTCCTGGTTCTGCTGCGATTGACTAGGTTGTGTTGCCTGGCACGGTCTTGGCGGATGGCAAACCGTTTGAGGTTGAGTATGTTTTCCAGGCTTCCCCGCAGACTCTCTGCGACGCTTGTCCAGATGCAGAGATTTGTTTTCTTTGCCAGCCCAATGACTGGAAGATGCTGTGGCGGTGCGCATGACAACTTGGCAGTCTTACCGTGAGTCCTGTCATGTTTCGTTTGAGTTGCAAGCAGCGCGCGTGATATGATAGTGGCTCGCTTGCTACCTCTGTATGAAAAAGTGTGGCGGGAGCTCTTCTACAGATCTTTCTCTGCTACTTCTCATGAGATCATGCTGGTTGACTTGGAGGCATCCCCATCTCTCTACAATACTGACATACTGACATCTCAATCATCTCAAGTATGCTTTTTGAGCAGGTAGTCCGGCACTAATGCACTGTGTACTATGTCAGTTAGTGCAATGTGTAGTCGTATGCAAGCGAACGATCTTACTGACTGATGCTGGTTGTGCTATTGCAACCATGGCCCGTGAGTTGGGCCTGTTGCATGCCACATGCAAGACGCGAGTTGGTAGATGAAGAATTGCCCGCGGCCGCAGAAAGATCTCGGTCCATCAGGAACCGTTGATTTCATCTGGGCACTGATCAATATCCAGTATGCCAAGGTCCTGACGTATGTGAGAAACTTGCAGTGGAGGTTGCTCATAAACAAGGACCTGGCTTCCAAGGCTCTGATGAGTTGAGGGTTGAGCGGTGCACGAGGAAGATGCGAACACATATTGGTTTTTGTGGGACCTTTGCTCGAAACTGCCTTGCTTGAATGGCTGCTGTCTTGAGTTGTGGTCTCATTGCTTGCACGACATGCAACATTGAAGGAAACAACTTGAAATTGTACAGCTACGCCTTCCAATTGCCAAGACTTCTTGCAAAGCCCCTGCAAAAATCCAGGGAACGACTTCAGTTTGCGGGCCGGCGAAGGTTTGAGTCCAGGTTTTAGGAGTTAGGGGCTGGATCACCAGCTCATTGATTCAGTGATGTACCGCGGGCCACACAATTCGATGCCCGTGTTTTGTTTTTGAATATTATGTGACTGATTCACTTCTGGTCGAAGGAGCCTTCTATTAACACATGTTTTTTGGGATTTGAACACAACGAACTTGCTTTTGACTACTTCGAGACCAGGCTGGTTGCAATGAGGATGAAGATCTGCCGTGGAGCGGTGCCGAGGACCCGATCTTCCTGGGCCCAGTCCAGCTCTTTAAGTAACAGGTGCCTTACTAATAGTAACAAGTGCCTCGCTACTAGTAACAAGTGCCTTACTAGTAGTAACAAGAAGCTAGTAATAACAGAGTGTTGTCCTCCAGATGTCTACCAACCAACCACCATCCAAAGGCATTGCGCCATGGTTTACTCCATGCAAATGCTTTCGAGACAAACACCCGTTTAACCACCAGTTGGAAAATAGAGGGTTTTAGCAGTTTAAACAAGGTGCACATGCCAGTCACGCATGCCTCTTCTTGACTCCGTGAATGCAGTGGGTGAGTCAGGTCAGGCCACCCAGTATGTAGGATTGTGTGTGTCAATTACCACAGGGGCGATTACGACCAGATGCAGCGGGGAGGTTCAACTCCACTCATCGACCTCAGTTTTTCACAGCGTGGTGCAGGAGCTTTTGGTCAAGAGCACGCCGAGCGTGTCAAGCACACCAGTCCACTCCCAAGTTTCCAGGTACCACTTTTTGGAAGAACGTGAACTGTGCTAACTTCTCCTTTTCAATTTCTTTCAGACAGTCTTGATTAGTATTGCTTGGACTTCTGGACAACTATGGCTAAAAGAAACAACAGGTCGAAAGCTTCGACAGCCAACATCGCAAAGTTTGGGGTTTGGTACACAATGTCCTGAGGTCAAGACGGCGAAGCTAGAGACGAAGCTTCCAGACACTCCTACGCCGGTCCCATCGCCCACAGTCACGCAGAAGGAAGTCGCCCAGGCGCCCGCCGGGGCTTGTTGCATGTCTTGTCGCTTGGGTTGCTGGAATGCCCTTCAAGCTGAGCTGCCTGCCAGGCCAAGCCAGGAGCAAGAGGGGTTGGGAAGCCAAGCAAGCATCACTTTGTCCGGCAAAGTGGACGGCCACTAGACTAGACCATAAACACTTCAGAGTCATTTATAGAGGATTTTATCAGACAAATTGTTTCACGCAAAGACGGGTGGCCATGAAAGTGCAGCTTGATGAGGTTGAGCCTGTGAACATTTATCCGATGTCAACCATGGTAAATCAATATATATATATATATACCAGCCTGATGCATCATTTTCATTATTTCTAAGGTTCTTTCCATCTTTCTTGACCTTCGCCAATCAAATTGTTAGAAACAAGCTCAAGCTTTTGATTTTGAAGAGCGCGTGCGTCACGACGTGCAGTACCGTTTCAGGATTCAGGGCCCCTTTGGTCGGCCTTAATGGGCAACTCAGGAAGATGTCAGGTTGACTTTGAACAGGTTGGAACTGTCCTTGTGTGCACGCAGCAGGTCATTTGCGCAGTGCTGCTGTCAATCACCCTTGCAACAGCTTTGATCTGGGACTATATACGTGCAGCAGTCAGCTCCTCAGGCCTTACTGTAGTAATTAATGCCATGACGTGCCGTGCTCTCCACCCATTGTAGATTTTGCATAACTTCCAACTTGTAAATCGTCTCCTGTCGATTGGGGGCTTACCGGGCTTATCCACTCCGCAGTTTCGCAGATGCAGTTGTTTGAACAAAGGCCAACAGCCGACAGAGCAAGGGTGAGGTGTGGCCCTCAGCCAAAAAGAATTAGGTGTGGACACCATCGGGTGGATGAGGTGCGTCGAGTCTTGCAGGCTTCTCTGCAAAACTTTCTGAACCAACACAGGTCTGCGGAACCTTGTAGAGTTTCATGAATTTTGGGCATGGCATGCAACACCCCAGGACAGACCGTGTTAGTTCCGAGCATACCAGCTAGATTGCATCAGTTTCCTGCATGAGCTAGCCCATGCCATTGTGCCATCCAACTTGCGGTTTGTATATGCCAGGTTTCTTTGTTTGAGTTTCTGAACTTCTGACATCAAAGATGGTCATGTCAATGTCTTTTGATTAAAGCATCTCTGATGCTTGGGTTCTGGTCTGTTGTTGTCCCAAAGGATCAGAGAACGAGGAAACGGGAAACGCTAGAGTAGGAGTATACAAGATAATCTAGAGTAGGAGTATTTCTCGACATGACGACACACAGGTTTCCCAACAAGTCCTGATAGTAGTTCTTGACAATTTCAGAAACTCTCTATCTTGAGTTCTTGCTTGGGCATGCACATTTAAGTTGCCTTTTTGCGTTGCTTGTGTATGTAACTTGGCGGGTCTTGTGCAGTCTTCTTTGGAGTTGTTTTGGTTTTCTTTTCATTATCATAAAACACTTATTACTATTGTCCGTTGGTTTTCCTTCATGATTCATGTGGCTCTCTAATTGTCCTGTCAAACACTTCTCAGGCCTTTCCTTTCCTTTCAACATTTTGTCATTGTCCGTCCATGTTCCTCTAGTATATTTGTTTTAAGGACCTCAGGCAAAATAGACGGGGTGCCAAAGTTCTTTCTCCTTTCATTGAAAGGGCATGAAAGGAGCGTGACGGAATGCTTAGTGAAACGTGGATAGAACCAACAAAGATCAACGGGAGGTGAACTTACTTCCATTTTCCATTAGTTTCTGAACATTCACAAAACTCAATTTCAACATCTACATCAAGGACAGGTACGAATAAAGTGAAACATAAAAGGTAGGATTTGGAATAAACATTTGAATGCCTTCCCAACCTAAACATTGCTTCAATGAAGTCACGCCAAGACACGCCCAATCTGTAAAAACCAGCGGACCGGTAAGGTCAAAAAGGTGTTTTGTCGTGCGTTTTTGCATCTCAAATGTCTTAAAAACCGCGGATTGCTAGTGATCAACATGCGTTCGTTTCGGCCATCATGTCATGACACAGAAACCTCGAAATACATGCAACGCTAATTCAATGTTCAATCGTTGCTTTAAACAAGTTCAACAGCATGCAGCATGCCCGTTTTCACTGGTTGCCCTGAAATAAGTAAAATTGAGCTGTGCTGGACTGAGACCCAAACGGGGTCCAAGAAATGTCCAAGAGTATCAACCCTAGTCCCCCATAGCGCAAGTAGCGCGAGCAGCAGCAGCAGCAAGCAAGCAGCAAGCAGCACGAGTTGTTGAAGAAACCGAAGGATGAGGCGAAATGTGCCCCTTTTCATTCGAAAGGTCGAAAAGATCCAGGCCAAAAACAATAATGTGGACCCTTGTTGAACGAGGTCCAAAGGTTTGCAGCTCTAGATGCCCCCCTTAGCGCCAGCAGCAGCCCGCAGCAGAGCAGCAGCGCAAGCAGTTGAAGTGGTGTAGAATCGCGTCCCCTATAAGGGAATGAATTTGGTTACAAAAGTGGAAACACCCTCCGAAAGCCAAGGAAGCGAGAATATCCTTAGAGCATTCTAAAGCTGCACTAAACTCTTAAAGCAGTGCATGTTCTTAAATAGTTCAGCTGTTGAAAAACAGTCTTTCTTTTAAATTCTATTTAGTGGTAAATAATGTCATTTTAGCCCTTTAGGAGTTGAATATTCTATTGACACATTAGTATGCCACCAATGCAAGCTTACTTGGATCAGATATTGATTGATGATATACATCAAATTGTCCAAATTGTTAGAAGTTGATGTTGTTTTTGTGATTTCGGTAATGGACAGTGTTTAAACATTGCTGCCAATGGATAAAATGCTAGGAACATGTACACACAATATTCATATTGGTTTGATATGTATGTATGTATGTATGTATGTATGTATGTATGTATGTATTTATGTATGTATGTATGTATGTATGTATGTATTTTTTTTTTCCTAGAGGTTGGTTAGTGCACGAAGCCGTGTTGGCTGGTCGGCTAGGCCTCAGTGAGCGGCACACCTCAGAAGTAATCCACAGTCATGTGGCCCCCAGTGTCTTCATCTGTGTCTTCACGGCTGGCATCAAGCTGCGTGGAGAAGTGCAACCTTCTCGGTGTGGGGCCCGATGTGCTGCCGCCTGGGTTGTTGGCCTGTGGTGGAGGCAAAATGCCTTCTTCTGGTGTGCTGGTAGCCTGCGTGTGACTGTCAGTGTCGGGAGTGCCACCGCCGTTGGGCTTCTTTTTGAAGTAGTCACTGAGAGGCGGGGATGTTTTTATTCCAGCTCCCTTGCAAGGCCGGAGGAGAGCTTGTGTGGAGATGACTCTTTTCTCGCCATCAAGGTTGGTCTGGGTGCCACATTGAGTGCATCGAAGACGGTCCCCTTTCTGCCAAAGTGCGTGGCTGTGGTGCCCTGGATGTTGACCAGTGTAGGCTTGGTCAACGCATGGGCTGGCAATGTAGAGTTGAAATGCTTCTTCATTGACTCGTTTGTGGATGTTGAGGCCGCACTTCAGGCATTTGAGATAGCCGGCGGTTTCTCCATATTGATGCTCCTGGGGGCTCGGAGGTGTCTGATGCTGCTGTGCGAGCAGGTCCTTGATGACCTGTGCCCGCGTGGTCTTCTTGACAGGAAGTGCCGTTGGTGCCATGGAGGGTTGGCATGCTTCCTCAAGTAGGAGTTGTGGGCAGTCTTCTTGTAGCCGCAGTTCCAGGATTTGCTTGGTGAGGCCTTGATGCATCCTGGTGCCACAGGCCATGCGTTGAAAACCACTGCGATGTAGGTTCGACCCATGGCTTGGTGCACCTGTTGACCAAGTCTCGTTTGAAGTCTTTGGTCATTTTCCCTTGGTGCCGGGGTGCTTTTTGATGAATGTAGTGTTCCGGGTCGTCGTAGATCTTGCTCAGCCGCTGGACGGCATGGGTGTAGATCAAATGATGATCTGCGTCAAGAGTGGCTTGCCATTCTGTTTGTCGGTGATCTTGAAAGGTGCGGGCTCGTTCCCAGGCTGCTAATGCACAGTCTCTTTGTCTCCTCCTGAGCTGCGGTTCATTGCCAGGAGCTTCTGGGGTTCTTGTGTTCCTTGAGACGTACAGGACTGTGATGCGTGCTAGGTCTTGCTCTGTGATCTCTGCCATGAGATCCTGGTATGGTGGCCTGCTGCGTGGTTGGTGCGAAGCCTCCCATACCGTGGTAAGCTGCACGATGACCCGAACCGGTGTGGTGGTGAACTTGGCCAAGGCCACAACACCTGCGATCAAAGCCCTGGTTTTGGTTTGCTCACCACTTGCCACCCCCGTGAGGGCTCCAAGGCGCTGCAGTTGTCCAAGGTTCATGGTGTGCACACAAAGGCCGAAGACCCACATTTGATCACGGTCGTCATAGGTTGAGGGTGTGGCATCAAGGGTGAAAGCCCAGCTGTTGTGCTGTTGTGGTGCAATAGGTTCCAAGCCTGCCCAGCACCCATGGCCATGGAATGGATGTGCTTGCTGGCGGTGATCTTGTGGTTCTAATGGAATCCAGCCTGCCGTCCATAATGGATCTTCCTCATGGCTGGTGATGCGGTTCATCCATTCTGGTGGCATGGGTTCGTGCTTCTGCTGCTTGTGCCACTTACAAAGCCACAAAATGTGCTTGTGTGTGGCGGGGGTGTTGCACAGCGGACAAGTTTTGACTTGAGCCGCCTCACGGAATTGTACCGCTGCCTGGACCCACGTGTTGAGATGTTGCTTGTGTCGCTGAGGCAATGACTTCCTGATCCGATGATAGGTGTGCCAGTCAATGCCGGTGAGGAGGTGCTGATGATGGGGC